TCAGCTTTCATAGAACTTCAAATATTTCAAAATGACATCTCGAATTGGTACAAACTTCAGTGACTCCAGAATTCAGAATGTTGAGCAATCTCTTCGTCTGGAGGATTGGTTGGATTGCAATAGTTTTTACTATGATTTTTTGTACTATTTTAGATTACATCCAAAAATAAAAAATAGGAAATTAAGGCGTCTAGAGCTAATTTAAAAAATCTTTTTGTTCTTAAGCAGTGAAATTCGCTATTGAACAGGGTATATACAGAACGAAGGAAACAAAAAAATAGTTGGGATAAGCCTCGAGACTGATCAGAAGTTTTTCAGACGATCGTTCTCAATTTGTATCCCTCATAACGGTAAGAGAATGGACAGTGAAAATTCAGCTGGTCGACGCATAGCGATGGGTGTCCCACAAGGTTCAGTTTTAGGCTCTGTACTCTTCATATTACATGTAAACTGCCTTTTGAAAATTTTAACTGATGCATTTTTTGTGATGTGATCTTTCCTTGGTGCTGTCGTGTGGGAATTACGATGACCTCTCTACTGTAGGCTGTCGACGACTTCGAGGTCACCTGATTATTTAGCTGTTCGTATTTTTTTAACAATCTGCCCTTGGAGTTAAGAAACAAAAGTGTCTATTTAAAAAACGATTAAAAATATTTTTGTTATCCGAGACAATTTACAGTATAGACTCTAGACGAATTTTTTTGAGTAAATGTTTTTTATATGTCTACGTACATTGTACCTATTATGAATGTTGACTATTCCTATACAATTTTGTAGTTGTCCTTGGAAAAATAATTATTATTATTATTATTATTATGAATGGCAGAAAACTATATCTCCAACATTTATCCTTATTCTTGTTATCCAAAACATTTTATAATATAGACGAATTTTTAGTTGTCTTTGGGAAAATATATATTATTATTATTATTATTAAACGCAAAAATTTAAGTTGCCCTTCGTGGTCCAACAAAATTACGATGAATATAGCGTCAGGAGATGTTTACGGCAGGTTTTGAGGTTAAGTTTTTAGTAACGTTAACTTGTGAAACAACGAAGAAACAAAATGGCAATTTATTTCAAGCCGAACATTTTCAAACCAAATTCATTCCCGCCTCACGTTACTGCTACCGTAATAATAAGAATAGATCGGCGCGAATAGTTTAGAAGAAAAAACGGGGTTTCTAATTTAAAACCGCCGCAATGATACACGCAGTATCTACCTAGAGGGATTAAACAATGAGCCGATTCCTAGAAATTTTCGGCCCGCAGAGAGAGAGAAAAAAAGGAGACAATGCGTGGCGAAATTTTTCGAAGCTGAAATAGCCCGTGTTTTGTACCGGCTCGACAAACAAAGCAGCTGTTTACATTATCTGGTAATGATAAGTAAATCCCAGGTAGAAAAACGTAGACCGTGGCGACGAGGGGACAGCGTTTGTACAAGAGTTCCTCACACCTGGGCCAGATTAAGGACACAAATACCGATGTACGGCCCGAAAGTGGAACGACATTGTAGCATTTTATCGATTTCGTTTCGATAATGGTTCGATTCGAACGAAACGGAATTTCATTTTTTTTATAGTGGGTAGGGCAAAGCAAGCAAAGGGCAAGCTACGGATTCCTGGCACCAACAGCAAAGGGGCAAGTTGCTGAGAATTTTTTGGAGTTATAGGGGTGTCAAAAAATTATAATTTTTCTTAATAACTTTTTTTCTAATTTTCCGGCTAACCTTAAACTTAGCATGGTTACTACTAACATTATTTTTTATCTTTTGACCCAAGTTTAGGTAAAAAGTTTAATCGATATGACCTTAGCTGCCCACAACTTTAAGAAAATTTTGTCAAACCTTGTTTATAGTATATTATGTGCGGTAAACTTCATTTGAGTCGCGAGTTCATTGGGCAAAAGCGGAGCGAGTGTTTAATAGACTTGTTGCATACTCGACAAACATCAAACATCAAGCCGTGAGGTTAAAATCTCCGAAAACATCCGATTGTTTCGAAACACTTGCGGTAATATCCCGGAAATGTCCGAAGGGGCTAGGATCCGTGGGACAAGAAACTCAGGTGGTAAATTGACGTTTCCTGCGAGCTAGATCGGTGTATAATTAGGTATTTTACAGAAGGGAGTAGAAAAACGTTTTTAACAAATTATTTTAAAAGTTAATAGTTAAAGACTATTAAAAAAGCTTTAAAGAATTTGTTGTTTACCACAATGAAATGAACCGCTCCCAAGAAAACTGCCCTGTATATGTTTTATAATTATCAAAGAAACAAATTTAACAGTAGATTTTGCTAATGGACAAGGGGTGTGTTTTGAAGATTTGTGTTCGTCTTTAATGGTAATCTTTTAATATTTGCAAAAAAATTGAAACAAAAATTTCGAAAACGTCAGATTATGTCAAAAAATGGAGAGAGAAACAGTAAATATTTTTGAGTTATCGAAAAAATACTACGCGAACTTTAGACTCAGTTTTTTCCTTATTATTTTCTCTCTTATTCTCTAAACTTTCTGAGTTTTCCGAAATTTGACAAACCTATACTTATTTAACTAGAATGAAATAAAATTGTTGTTTTTTTATATAGAACCCATTTGAACCAATTTTGATACAATAGTACGTATTTTTAATATCAGTTTCTGCAACATGCGAAAGGAAAAAGTTTCCTAATTATTCTTAAAATAGTTTGAGGATCTAAGTATGAAACTTAACCTGAATCGATATAAATTAAATTTTGCTGTTCTTTTTTACATCCTTTTAAATTCGCGCTAAATCTGAATTAGATTTTGTTAGAAAGCGGGTTTTATTTCAGGTTTAGGAACATAGTATATAAATTGAAATGTATAAAATTTAATTCTCTTTCAGAATTTTTTATGATAAACATCAAATTGCATTTGAAAAAAATAACTTTTCACCCATTTTATTTAGGTCTGAGCAATTATGATTTTGTAACCGCTTGGTGCGTCGCAGATGTTATTGCTCTACAGGAAACTAATATTCAGCTTACTAGTAAAATGTTCAACTAATCCAGCAATAAAAATTTACTTTAAATGGAACATTTTATAATGATTTGGAGCAGCGATTTGAAATTTTGGTGGTTTAAAATAGAAGTGCAAGTGCAATTTTTTGATACTATGTATCATCAAATAGCATATTTTGAGAAAAAAAAAACAATAAATGCAATTTTATAGAAATAAAATATTAAATAGGAAAAATTACATTATTTTGTTTTAAGATTAGTAATAAAATAGTAAAATATAATTCCATAAAAAATATCAAACTTAAAATAAAAGTTTTTTAAATTAATTATTCAACAAAATGGCAAATTTTCAAAAAACAAAAATTTATAAAATTTTAAAAACCTCTGGAAAATCGTGGCGGCCATGTTGCAGGGAATCACTTCTCCTATTACCACCTGTTTACCTGTCTCATAGTTTTATTCTTTGCTAATACTCGTAATTACCTCACCATTAACCTATTCGTTTAATTATTTAATGTCATTAACTCAATTAAATATACGTATCTATATAATAAAGGGTAAAGTATTCACCTTTTAGCACACATAAAATTACCGTCATAATTTATGTCTCCTTAAGGCGCAAAATTATTTATCGCAATATAGGCGCCTACGTTTTGCCATAATGCGCGGAATATTTTAAATGTACAAATAATGCAGATAATGCAGAAAAGTTAGAAAAAAAAAACAGATAGAACTTTAAAGAAATGCATAAAAATATATTTTTAAAAAAGTATAACCAGAACGTCGGTAAAAATTAAATATACAGTTTGTCCCAGTATGGGCAACGACATACGGTATTACGGAAATTCTAAACAAATAAAATATTCTATATTTATTTATTTATCTTTTTTGAGTTTATTAAAATGCGTTAAGATTTTTGGGAGTTATCGACAGTTATTTTCGAAAATGTTCGAACAGCCCTTTTGCAAAGAGCATGAAACAAAAAAGATTTAATGTTTGTTTCAGATTAAAAACTAACTATATAATATTTTTGCAAAAAGCGAGATCTATCATATCAAAATCATATTTTTTCATATTTCAGGGAGCGCACAGGTCTGAGACACCCGGTACAGTACAATCCCACGTCCAATCGAAGTCGACAAAAACGTGAACGAAACCAGCGGCGCGCGGCCGATTTGAATCAGAAATTGGCTTGTTTATTTTCCCCAGCCAATCCCCCTCCCCCCACAACAAATGAGAAATATGAATTAATATTTCATCCCCACCCCCGTCGTATTTCCCATATTATGAATTCGTAACGCCCACGATACGTGCTCCTTACTCCATCGAAACAACGGGAAGTGGGGGGGGAGGCCCGTCAATAATATATGCCGCACGTCCTATTACAACGTTTTCCCTTCGGAGCGAACTACCCCCGCAGCCGCCCACTCCCCTCTCGGGCGTTTTCTTTTCTTGCCGAGATAACGGAATTTCCGCGGCCTGATGCGCCTCTCGTTTATCATTCCGAAACGTCATAATTAACCCGATATGGAGGGCCGGCCCCCCACCGCCACGGCCTTCATTTATTATGCATTGGAAATCGGGACAACGGCCCCCAGAAAGAAAATGGGATTTTTCCCCGATTATTTTCGCCGGAAATGAGTATATTTTTGTGCCACATTATTTACGGGGTCGCCCGTATAAATGGATAACAATAAATGAAAATCATAAATAAAAGTTTTTATTTATGGAACACCATGTATGTTAGTCCAAGAGTGAAAATGATATTCAAATGCTTTAATATATATTACTTTATGGGCGGCCCTGTAGGTGGTGCGCAAAAATCTATATCCTTTACTATACCATCAAGCTGCATCACACATCTAGTATCAGATGTATCAACACGCGACTCTCAAAAGACCGTACATTTTACAACGCTTTCGGCCAACACCAAAGACCTATTAATCAACCAGCTACAGTAAACCAGCAAGTAGAAGTCAGCAAACTACCCATCCTACTACGAGAACACCGAAAAGTACTCACCGTTCGCGCCGAACATCGCATGGTGGACGTATTGGTTCTGAACACCGAACCCGGGACTGTTGCTCAGACTGTAGAGCTGCTGAAACAGGCTGTCCTGGTTCTCCTCTTGCTCCCCCTTCTGGGCGGCCGCCACCTGAGCCCCGGTCATCTGCATCCCGGCCATCTGCATCTGCAGCAATTGCATGTGAGTGTTGTTGTTGATGTTCTGCGGCTGCTGCTGCTGTTGCTGATTCGCGGTGGTCGAATCGGCCGTGCTAGAAGCTCCGGGAAGCGGCGGTATGGTGAACTCTCCTCCCTCGCCGGTTTCCTTGGTGCCTTGATTTTCGAGGTGCGCGCGCACGTTCCCGATGTGGCTCTTGGTGAATATGTGGTCTTGTACCGAGTACTTGTGCGAGTACTTGAAGTTGCAGTACTTGCAGTCTTCCGGCAGTACCGGGTTATCGTTATCCGGCTGTCCGAGGGCCTTTTGCAAGGCCAGCTTGCTCTTCTTCTCTTTGGCCCTAGCGTTTTGGAACCACACTTGCACCACCCGCTTGGGAAGTCCGATTTCTCTGCCCAAACTCTCGCACTCGGCCATCGTGGGCGTTTTGTAATCGCCGAACAAAATTTTCATGATTTTCACCTGCACCGAAGACATTTGGGTGCGGTACCGTTTGGCGCCTCCGTGCTGGGAACCGCCGCTGGTATTCATCTGGCGTTGGGTATTGCTCTGGGTACTACTAGCGGGAGAGGTCGGGTTGCTCTCGTCGTCTATGAATTCAGTCGTCTCAGACATGGTGTCGCTCCTTTCGTCGCACAGAGAACGCTCGCTCAGATCTGTCAGTGGCCCCGGATCGCACAAATTTCTCTCGTGTTCCATGGACACTTTCATAGGGCGGGACAAGTCCACCGGTTTCGATAGATCCAATGGGATCTCACCGCCTTCCCCCTTTTCACACTTTATCTCGCTCTTGTCACCGTTGGAAGACGAGGAGGCGTGTTGCTGCAGTTCGTTGATGTACCTCTTCATGCTCTCCTCGTAGTACTTTTTAATGGAGCTCTCCATGTCGGGATGCAGCTGCGGGAAAAGCGGCGGAATCATGTTTGGGTTCTGCTGGAACTTGCTATCGCCGCCGCTGCTCAAGCTGGGGGCCGACTCCAGGCTAATCTCCTCATCAGGTAAAGCGTCGATGTTGATCTCGCCCCTCGCGCATTGATCGGCGTGTTTCGTGCTCAGATGCGACTCTAGCGCGGACTTCACTTTGAACAAGGCCGGGCAAAATGGACACCTCTTATTAATCACTTGGGCGTGGGCTCTAAACTGACCCTTCCTTTCCCGAGCACGGGTGTTTTGGAACCAAACCTGTACCACGCGTTTCTTCAAGCCGACCTCCCTGGCGATATTCTCCAACATTTTCCTCGACGGGTTACTTTCGATCTGGTACTTCTGGTAGAGGTAATCCAACTGTTCGGGTAGAATAGTTGTCCTTAGACGTTTGTCTTTGGGTTGATCTGACGTGTCGCTTTCGCCGTCAAAGTCTTCGATTTTCCTCTTCTGTCCGGTAACGTTATTCAGCATGTTTATCAACGGGTGGGGCACGTTGGGGGTGGGAGCGTTCGCGTTCTGTTTCGCCATCTCGCCCAAATTAACCCCAAACTGCTGAAGTTGAGCGTGCTGCTGCAGAATCCCGAACGGAGAGTCCGGAGGATACGAAGGGAACAGGTTGGGGTTCATCAAGTGAACCAGCTGATGCTCGCGCCATAACTCGAACCTGGGGAAGACGAGGTTGCACTTGTCGCACTGGAACGTGCCTTCCTTCGTATCTGACGGCGATGGCGACGTAGCCGGGTAGTTCATCTGGCTCGGGGTAGGAGTAGTAGGTTGATTCGGCGGGACAGGGCTGTGAGCCGAGCTAGGTTGCGAACTCGATTGTTGTGTTAAGTTTTGGGGTTGCGTCTGTAGCTGTTGCTGCTGCGACTGTTCGGCGATGGTGCTGGAATTAGAGTCCTCCGAACTCAAAACGGCAGCTATTTGGGCAGCGGCCGCTTGAGCCTGCGCGGACCGCTTAGCATCCTCCTCTTTGAAGCAGTGAGTTTTCTGATGACGGATCAGTTCGTAGTATCGTTGGAAAACAAGCAGGCATTTCTTGCACTGATAGTTGAGGCCGGGGGTTCGCTGGAACCTGTTGGCGCCGGACTCATCGATACCCGGAGCGGGTTCCGCGGCCGGTTGATTCTCGTACACTTTCCGGGCTTTCTGTCTGGCATTTTGGAACCACACCACGATCACTCTAGGGCTGAGATTGAGCAGTTTGGACAAGTATTCCAAGTCGTCGTCCTTGGGGTACGCGTTGTTCTCGAAAAACTCCTGCAGCACCTTAATTTGGTAGTCGGTGAATCGCGTACGGTTGGCTCGTTTGCCAGTCGAGCCGCTTGAACCTTGACTATTCGAGCAGTAGTCTTTGTTAGGGCTCAGGCATCGGTTCGGGGTCATGGGAAGCATCCCCTGCAGAGTCCCGGGATTTGGAAAATTTTGTTGGTTGATTTTGGGTGGCGGCAACATAGGACTGCTCAGACCGTGGTGGGTTTGCATGTTCATAGTGGGCGTGCTCGTCGTTAAGGTGTCACCAAGTTGCGACGCGATGATCGACGTCAGCGTTAGGTTGTTGGGAGTGGTGGGCTGAGACATGGTCATGCCCTCGCTCGACGCGACAGAAGTGGCGGGACTTTGAGGCGTCTGCAAGTTCGGAGGCAGGTTGAATATGTTCAGCTTTTCTTCGGCGGGTTTGTCCTCGAATTTCGGCTGCTGGTGTTGCGTTTGGGGCTCTTCCGCCGGCTCTTCTTTGATTTCCGCTTTGATCTCGGGCTGTTGAAGCGGCGACGACGACTCTTTACTCTTGTTTTGCTCGTCGCTACTGCTACCCGAGCTGTTCAGCGGCATCACTTTCGCTTCGCCAGTTTTCTCGTACTCTTCCAAGTTCAGTGTCGTGCTCGGGGGGTTGTTGAAGTTGTAAGGACTGTCTTTGTTACGTTGGCGTTCTTTAAAGAGGGTGTTTCGGAACCAGTGTTTGATCACTTTGGGCGGCAACCCGCTCTGGGTGGCCATCTCGTGGATCTGGTCTTCCGAAGGGGAGTTGTTGATGTCGAAGTGGGCGCGCAAAATTTTCAACTGTTCGTCGGTGATTCGGGTACGGGCTCGTTTTTGATTGGCCGCGGCTGCGTTCGCGACCTGCGACAGACGACGTGTCAAAACGTTTACGGATTTTTGCGAGAAAAATCGCGAGATATATTTACGGCGACCGGCCGGCCTTAATAAATCTTAACAAATTGGTCGTAAATCAATTACACGATGATTATCACAATGCAAGGCTACATCTTACAAAATGGCAATTAAAATAATCAACGGAGCTGGATCGAGCTTTAGTTAATATGTGCGGGAACGTGTAATCATATCGAGAGGGAGAGAGACGGACGACACCGGTCGGATAGTTCGAATGCCGGAGGAAAATAATTATTAACGGTGGAATAAGCGCGGACTGGTTTTTACAAACGAACTATTTTTTACGTCATAATTTCGTTTTTAATTTCCGGGATGCCGAAACTAGGCGGCAGTACGAAAAAATATACCCTTAAATCAGATCCCACATTTGAGGAAACAATTTATTGAATATTTTGTTTTACTATTACACCTATTATCATAGGAGTATGCATTTTGCAGCGTTCATCTTCAGGCACTAAGAGTACGAGGGCTGCCGTTTATATTTGGGGATTTTCTTAAACTAGTCTTGCCATTTGGCGACTAATGTTTTTATATGGAAAGAGTGTTGTTTGTGTTTTTTGTGATAAATTAAAAAAATTGTGACTGTTAAAAATGGAAATTAATTTTTTATATATTTACACAATAATAATGCATCGATGAACTTAATTCGACTTTTGGACTACTGTTTATCAATCGTGGTCGTAGTTTTCTTAATCGGTGGTTTTCCAAGAAAACATTGATCAGTGCGGAAACTGATTTTGCAGGATCGTCATTATGTTCAAAATTCCGAAATTTTAATGTACTGCGTTACTGTACAGTACAGAATAGTGCACTGTTGATCTTCAGGACAAGAAATAAACAAATTTTCTGATACGCTATACAGCTAACTATCAAACCAGTATATTCACAGAAATGTTATCGCCCGTTAAAGTAATGGAGCTATAAGTCAGACAAAACAAAAATAATTCAGATATTTTCTGAAAAAACCAAAAACTATATTTTGAATAACTTTTCCATGTTTGCCAGGTATCATTGCTACACATTAACATTGATTTGTTAAAAATGGATAACTTGATAAATTAATTAATTTTTACTTTCACACATATAAGTTTTTTATTTCCTGGTGTTTAGGTCAAACAGATATTGCAATAACTTTTGCTTATGTTTTTAAATAAAAACATTGTAACTGCAATTTTGTAATATACTGTAATAATAGGTTTAGTTAAATGATCGATTTTGTTTGGTTGTAAAGTTTGTTCTTGAAATTGATCGATTTTTCTAAATTAAAATTAAAATCATTTTTCCGCTTACTGTTTGCTACGTGTATACGTATCGGTCAATAGACCTCATCATTTGAAGCAAAATAGTTTATATTAACAACATGAGTCCGATTTCGGTCAGTAGCGGAGCTACGGGTTGGTAATTCCTCCCCGAAGAATATCATTATAAACATTTTAAAGATTATTGAAATCTACAGGGTCATGCATTTTTGGGAGTGAAGGCTTCTTTTTCCCCCACAAACTTTTTCGTAGTACGCCTCTGACATCTTCCAGTTACAAAACTGGGTGGTAAATACGCATATGCGTTCTATGTCTTTCTTAAATTTTGACGCATAGATCTAACAGCCAACAAGCATAGGTACTGAATTATTCGGAAAAAGTAGTTTTGGGACAACCTGTACATATATAAAATATATATAAAAAAGAACAATAAAAAGTAAAAAAAGCAACCGTTTAAATGAATAAGAACAATTTAAATATTAATTAATATCATGTAATACATAACTAAATATTCAAATTAAAGGCGTATTACTATAAAAAAAACACCGCAATTATTAACAGCATTTGCATTAATTCTACACCGTCAGCAAATCTCTCCACTGCTGTATTGGAATTTCCAAACAATAAGATTACTAATTCCCAGTAAAATGCGACGACATTGACGTCACCTAAATCGTTAACACCTCCAAATAAGATCTGACGGGTATTTCCTGGTATCGATAGACAATAATATTAACAATGATCTGCCGCTTAATGGACGCCTAATTGAAAAGTTCATACCTACGCCGGATAAGAATAGCGGTTCCGAAGGCGTCAATACCCGAAGATCAGAGTAGACCACATATAGATCAGCGTTTTGACACTTGCAAATGTTTCTGATTGATTTCTAAAAGGCAATAACGGTTTTGTATACATATAAATCATTAAGGTGATTCTAACCACAGGTTTTTATATATTCTGAAATGAAATTAAATTAGCAAATTTAACAAATATACCGCGTACTCAAATACGCTTACACATCCCATAAACACGTACGCTGCTTGCAGATAATACGAAACTTTATCAATAATAAAAATGCGAGTACTTTGATGGAATTTAGTTGTAGGAGCGATAGATGGCGCTGGTGAATCAGGAAGAAGATTAAATGGCGACGGCGTCAAAATAGTCAAACCTAGTGAAGTTAGTCGAATGTTTTAAAAAATATTACGTAAAGTTTATTTGTGGAAAAATTAACTGAGACGCCATTCTTAATTTTAAACGGTCCCTTCACATAGAAAGTCGAGCAAACTGCAATCTTATTTGAAGAAAATGGTGGGTCTCGTGAAAAATTCCACAGCGAGAAAATAAATGATCTGTTTCTGCCTTTTCCAGAAATACCCTAAATTAAATCCATTGTTACATTTTATAAAGATTGCATCGGTTTTTGTTGAGTGCAACTAGCTAACGTTTCGCCAATCATCCTGTTGGCTTCTTCAGAGCTGGCTCGCATTTTACCCTGTACCTGCTTCTACATTGTTTGAAGAGAGCGGAGCTAAATGAGGGACATAAACATCGTCTCGGATGACTGATTGCCATATTGGTGACAGGTAGAGACCCGAGTCGCGGTTAAGATTGTTAGGTTGCTTCTATATTTCTATAGACTCTCGTTGGTAAAAGAATCGATTACATGCACGAATTTTAGTTTCGTAGAATAAAATTCTATGTCCGGTCTCGTGATTGTGTTCGGCAACTGCTGATGAGTTGATTTGTCTTAGTCTTAAGGCTAGTTCATGTTCTTTGAGAATAGTTGATATTTTTCGTCCGGTCTCTCCAATGTATTCTCTGCAGCAAATGCATGGAATGCTGTAAACTCTGGCATCTCAAATGGAATTTTGTCTTTGACGGATCGAAGATGAGAGATTCTTGGACAAGTAGTAAATCTAGTTTTGACGTTATATTTCTTTAGAACTTTTGATATGTAGTCAGTGAAGTTTTGAGTATAAGGAAGCACAACAGCGGCAAGTGTGCGATTGCTTTCGGTTTCATTGCTATTGGAAGGTTGTGGTGAAGTGTATTTTGTGTTGGAACGCTTAATATCTTTAATGTGGATATTATTAGAGAGAAGAGCAGAGGTAAGATGTTTTAATTCTGGGTTCAATGACTCGGGTTTAGATAGTTTTACCGCTCTGTAAACAAGAGAGTTGATAACCGATGATTTTTGGGCCGGATGGTGATGTGAATATGCATTAAGGTATCAGTCTGTGTGCGTAAGTTTTCTGTAAACACAATGACCCAATGGAAGGTCTGACTTTCTATTGATAAGAGTATCTAATAATGGAAGATTATTATTTAGTGTATAGAGTTTAAATATCTAAGAAAATCTACTAGGGATTCCTGACCATGAGGCCAAATAACAAAAATATCATCGACGTAGAGTTTGCATAATTTTGGTTTTAGATGGAAGGTGTCGAGAGCTTTCTTCTCAAAGGATTCCATAAATATATTCGCGATGACCGGTGATAGTGGAGAACCTATAGGTTGTTCCCGACGTATATTTAAATTTTTAACCGTTATAAGAAAAATATGTTCCAGACAAGCCTTTTTCAATTAAGGTGAGGAGGTTTAGTTCCAGATTCTCGAATTTCAATATATCTAAAATAATGGTGAATGTTTCAGGAATAGGAGTCCGTAGAGACAAGGAATTTTAGAGTCAGGAGCGGTGACAGATTTTTTCAAGAAGTCTGATAGAGAGGAAGCCTTAATGATAGATTTATTTAAGTTGACGATATGATCCGTCTGTAAGAATATCTTGAATCTTTGAAAAATTAATCCATGGTTGTTCAAAAGCAACAAAAAAAAAACAAAAAATTTTTCTCTGATACAAAAAAAATCACCTTTTTGCTTTGTATCAGGTTCTTATTATTCTTTTTTTTTTCTTTTTTATTAACCTTATTATTATTTTACTTAGGAAGTTATAAAATTATCAGCGTATAGCACGGCTCGATGATGACGCCACCTGGCCCACTGACGACGCGCGGGAGGAGAATACAGTATTCCCGTCGTCGCCGCCGCCGTCGGATCATCGCTTCGCAAGAAACTTGAATGTTTAATGGTAGGAAACGACACCGTATTCTCCTAATAATTTATTTACGGTACGGCGGCTTGTGCGTGTCCGCGAGCCGCTCCGAATTCGGTACAGTTCTCGGAATTATAGGACCCGGGGTCGCTATTATTGTTCCGAATTTAATTGTACCAAATTACATCACATTTATTTTTAATAACGGGGACCGCAGCGGCGGCCACTTAATTATTTTCCGTTTTTCTATATAGCGTATATATATAGAGAACCTACATAATTAATAACTCGGAGGATAACGGTTGTGATCGAGCCAAAAAAAAATTACGTCTTTCCCGGAATAAAACGACATCTTAATTCGTATTCGGTACAATGTAAACGACGAGAAAATACTTCGAGACTCGTTAATTTCCTACGTGGGTCGGATCATTTCTAGCGGCTATCGTTTCAGGGCCGGATCCGACAACAGTTGATAGTTATGCAGCCCAACGTCACAGTAGAACAATAGAAACGCAGTATAATACGACCAAAAATATAGTGTATTTATTGCTTTGACGTTTTAAGTATTTCACAGTACCTTAACCGCAGACCTTCTCAGGAGCGTGGTAAAACCCATCCCATTCTGCATTAGTTAGGTCTTGCCTGAGATGAACCGTAACGAATATTTGCAGAAACATGAAATTTTTATTTCAAACGTAAATGGACCGCTTTAAATTTGATTAAGCATTGATGCTGTGGGGCATATTACAATAAGTAGAAGCGTTTATTTTAACATCAGGTGATATGTATCGTTCACAAGAGTTTAATCTAAATTGCAATATGTTCGTATATATTACGGAGATGTTGACTGTGATCCTTCCAGTAAGCACGTATTTAGGTACTTGACATTCAAGCTTTCACCCTGCGAGGCTGTTTTCACTGGATAGATGAAAGGTAAAGGTAAGTACCTGTACTCTATTTATCTTACAACTAAGGTTGAAAATAATCATTTTTGTCTTGTGTGACTGTCGATTAACAAGATTATTCTTCTTGTATTTTTGTATCTTCTACATAGTGCTTCCATTTGTAAACAACAACAGTCTTTCTTAAGAGTATAGATTTATATTTTGAAGAGAGCTACACGAAATTAGTAAAAATAAAATATTTTAATAAAGACTACAAAATCGATACAATAGCACAACAAAACAGACATGAAATTTTGAGATTACCCCCGTATATTTAACCCGATTGAGATGATTTGGTCCGAGTTGAAAGCTCATAGAAGAAGAAATAACACTGCACCAAAATTTAGTGATTGTACCATAAACATAATTCGGCAAGAGGTAGCTAAAATATCAGTACAAAGCTGGTCTAACTATGAAAAAGGGGTAATAAAAGAAAATATTTATCGAGAACGATTATTGGCGGAGTTGATCATCGAACTAGGTGACGATAGTAGCGATAGTGACGATTTTTTAAGTGACTGATACCTTATTATTATTATATTCAATATTTTGTATATTAATAAAATTTTATTAATTTGTTATTTTCTACTAATTTTTTTCTATACCTGTTTAAAGAATTGCTGGGTGAAAAAGGTTGAAAACATACTTATATCCCGCTTGTTAGTGGAGGTAGATAAATTATAATAATCTAAGAAAAATTAATATCTAAATTATCTGCCTAGCTGTATAATTGCATTCACGTATAATTATTAATGTATTAATTATTTTAATAAACTACCTGTAGTCACGCCACTGTCACGTTATGAAAATTAGTGTGACGCTAATTTCGGACCGATTCGAGAGTGTCTTAAAAACTGAAATACCGAAAACTAGTAACCAAGCAATTAATCTGAACTTCACTTTAAGTTGTCCACCATGTACATTTTATTACGCTCTTGCATGAAGAAACATACTATAACAGACTCTCTTTCCCAGGAGTCCTACAAAAAGTGGATAAACTTCTTCAGCCAATAATATTTTAAATGAATCTGGTGACTAAAATGGCGTTTACCAACATTGTCACGTAATATACTATTAAGCAACTATTACTCACCAGCTGGTCGTTTTAGTTAAAACATAGTCTTTCATTTTTGAATAGGCAAATTTGATTTTGCAGTTTTATAACAGAAAATTGAAGAAGTCAAAATGTGGTGACGCTGGCCGATGGTGACAAATACATCTCAAGAATACTCGAAAGTAAAAGACTTCGATAAGTGGATAATATTTATACCATAATGTTTGTAAATTTGTATCAGGTTGATTCTAGATTACTTATTTATTTAGTCCAAAAATTGTCCAACTTCTTCAAACCGTGACATATAACGGACATCAAAAGAAAAATTTTGTGAGTTTTTAATTAAGAAGCAAAACATGTTTCTTTTAATAGAATATTAAACATTTATTTCAGAGAGCGATAAAGTTAATTTGGCACAACCACATTTTCACTTGCATACCCTCCATTTAATGGTACTTTAATAAAGACTACAGAGGTCACAACAAGAAGTCAATTTTGAAGCTATTTTGGTAACTTTTTAGCAATGTGAATACAAATTATCCTAATTTATTGTATATTTTTTTCTCTTTTCGTTTATTGCTAATTTATTTATTTATATTAATTAGGAGAATTGTATGGCAAAGAAGTGTTAAATAACAACAATTTGTTACATTTGTTACATGGCAGCGATATTATCCTACACCAATTTTTCTATTAAAACATAAATTGATTTTCTAACAAAAGCGTCATATTTGTCGACAAATAGAAGTCAAAACAGATCAGAATCCGGCGCTCAAAATATGTTGTCCGACGCCTTTTTGTATTTTCTTTCAGTTCACTCTCGACCTGGATTCCAAGAAAAAAACAAATAGGTCTATGGACGAGGCAAACATTGGTCCTTAATTAGTCGAGAGCACTAATGATTTCTACGGGACCCGAGAAGATAATTTCTTCGCCAAACAAAGTGGTTAACAAGTCGCGCAACATTATCACTAAGCGTCGAAAAGAAAACACACGCAATACTTAAACAATTTTAGCATTATTCCATAATTATCTCCATCGCTAAAGCTCGGCATACGCGCGCGATCTCACTTGGGTTCGCGAGACCGGTCGTCACGTTAAAGGTTACCCTACACCCGCACGCTTGTCGCTCAGTTTACTAGAGTACTCTTACGTATGGTAATACGAAAACTACAAGAAACTCGATGTTTGTGTAACACAAACGAATTGAGGGTAGAGACGTTACACCTATAAGAACAGAAAGGAAGAGGAATTGAAAAAAAAATCCTATATCGTCGTTCCTAGCTATTTTTTCAACAATAAAATAAAAAGAGAAGTTTGCTATTGACTTCAGCTATTCATTCAGTAGCCCTAAAACGGACAAAACGAACGATAAGCACCAGTGTCTGAGGAATCCTTTAGTGCAATTATTGAGTCTGGATGAAATTTAATAATAATAATAAAAAAGAAAGATTAACAGTTGCTTGGTCATTTGCTCATAATTTTAGGTAGAACAGGAGTGGATAGTTTTGGTTGGTTTAGTTTTTGGAAACCGTAAACGAATGTAAAAGATAGAGTGGAACCTTTTCCATTTCATCAGTAACTAACGGACAAAGTGATAATTAGATTGAGGACCATATTTATTTAATCACTAACTAGTGAACTAGATAATAATGAAAGATCCAAAGATCAGCAGAACTGGATAGTTTTATTTGAAACATTTTCCATTTATTCAGCAGGTAACTAAAAAACTAAATAATAATGATGAAGCAAAATATCAACATGATTGGGTAGTTTTGGGTGGTTTAGTTTTGGGAAACTGCACACGAAGGTAAATGATACATTGGAATATTTTTATTTCATCAGTAACTAATGAACTAGATCATCATAAAAGAGCCAAAGATCAACAGAACTGGATAGTTTTGTGTGGAACATTTTCCATATAGTCAGTAACTAAAGAACAAAATAATAATAATAATAATAATGAAGTAAAATATCAAAAGGATTGAGTAGTTTTGGGTAGTTTAGTTTTGAAAAATTGCAGACCCCTGTAAAAGATGGTCCGGAACGTTTTTCGCTTCATCAGCGACTAAACGACTGAGTGATAATAAAAGAGCCAAACGTCGATAGGAGAATTTTGGTCAGTTTAGTTTGAGGAAATTGCAAAGATGGAATAAAGATGAACAGGTCCGGGTGGTTTTGGTTTGTTTGCGCAAGTCGCATCTATCGGATCTGACTCGAGTGCCGCTTCTCACTGTACCCGCCGCAAGCCTTATTTACAAGCGACATTAAGATTATAATTATGCTCCGGGATTAAAATGTCTTGTAGGTAAATGAATTGGTCGGTGTTTGTGAAGGTTGAGAGCATCGTCCAGGTAGAGGGATTCGAACAATTCCCCGGAGTAATTACGTTTCGGAACACCTGCGTGTATTTTTCCGACGTTTTCAAAAATTTTTGACAATGTATTGGAACTTTTGTTCTCTGCCGTATTGTTAGGCTTCTAGGTAAAATTTGCCGGCGGTCGCTAGATGCGCAGGCGGACCACTGATTTTTCATTTGAATGCTTATAAATTAATTTCCGTTGATAAGTCTCCTGGATTCGTCAAAATATTAAAATTTTGTGATTTCTTTTAACCAAAACAAACTGTAAAACTGGCAAGGTTGCAAGTATTATTTTTATATCCGTCACTACGGACAACCAACCTATGCCAAACTTCATAACCTTACTTCAAGCCGTTCCTTTGAGATATATACAGTACGATCCAATTTTTTTACATAACCACGATCATTTCAATTGCCATTTCGCGTGAAAACCCGAATCAAAGACTTACCGCCTGCTGCTGCATCATGGCCGCCTGTTGTTTGGCCAAGATGGCCTGCTGATCCTGCGGCCCGAACTGGCTCATCGGGTCGTACGGCGGCGGCGGCATCATCAACGGCACCAGTGGCGGCTGCAGGTTCATCGCCGCCAGGGCGTTCAGCCCCAGCGGCAACCCCATTCCCATCATCTGCATCATCGGATTGAAGTTGAGCTGCTGCAGCTGCATCACGTTGAAGGCGGCCTGCATCTCGGACATTTGCTGAGCGAGCGCCATCGGATTCTGAGCCATGGTCTGCGCGAGCATCGCCTGGATATTCGCCGGCAGCGAATCGGTGCTGCTGGCCGGCGTAGTCGAAGAGGTCGGCGTCGAAGGCGCGGTCGAGGTCGCCTCCGGAGGCGTTTGGAGGTTAAGTTTCGCGTGGAGGACGTCCTTGGACTCGTCCTCCTTGTCGGGGGTCGCGTTTTCCGCGGCGGCGGGACTTTGCGTGGCGGTCGGGGTAGTCACTCGCGGTTGCGTGTTGTTCGTCGACGACGTCGCCACGGTCACGACCACGGTTTTCTTTTCGATCTCGTTTTTCAGCTGTTGAGCATACTTTTCTAAGTATTCGAGCGGCACCAGGTCCTTGTGCACCTCCTCACAGTGAGACTTGAGCACCCACACACTCGAGAACTCTTTGTTGCACGTCTGACAGGTCGATTTACTTACTTCGGGCAAACTGGCGACGTCGCCGCCTTCTTCGGTTGCGTCTTTCGCCGGTTCGGCTTGTTCTTCGGATACCGCTGGTACCGGCGTCTCCGGGATCTCTTCCGCGGCGCTGGCCGCCACCGCGGCCGCCGCCTCCGCTTCCGCGGCCTTTTCTTCGGCTTCGCGTTGCTGCTGCCGCTGCCTCCTCTGGTGGCTCTCGTTGTATTGCATCACCAAGTCGAACCCGAACCCCTCGAGCAAATGTTTATAGATGTGCGAACCCTTTTTATTGTTGGACATGTTCAGTTTCGATTGGTCTTCGATCGGAGGCGGACTCTTCGCCTGGTTCGGTTCGCTCGCGTTTTGAAATATGGCCATCGGGGCCGCGAACATGCAGTAGAGCTGGTGCGCGCTCAACTGATCTTGCGAATTGAATAGCGAGCCGCATTTCGAGCACCCCGTCATCCCTTGACTACCTGAGAGACCGGGCGACGGCGGGGTGGGAGAGGGTTGTTTGTCCCCACTACCTGGCGCGGGACTCGACTGTTTCGGAGACTGCACGGCCTCCGGTTGTTCTATCAGCGGTTTCGTGAGGTCAATCTGACCGGCCATCGCCAAATCTTGGAGCTTGCTAGCGCGCGTCTGGTGGAGCACGCTGCGCATGTGGATGTCGAGCGTGCTACCCTGCGTATACGCCACTTTGCAGATGTTGCAACGGTACTTTTTCTTGTCGTCTTCGTCGCCGCACGCGCCCTTCGGCGTCAGCGACAAGTTTTGAGCTTGGACCGGCGAGATCGGCGGGTTGTTGTTGTTGTTCTGCTGCTCCTGCATCGCGCGCTTTAGCTTGTGCAGGTGGCTCACCGAGTTATAATGCACCAGCAGGATGTTCTTCTGCGTAAAACTCTCCTTGCACACGTCGCACTTGTACGGGCGGTTCGGGTCGAGGTATTTCTCCATCGGATAGCTCAGTTTTTCGCCTTTGCGATGCAGGAGCGTTTTGTTGTGCGCCGTTAGGTAGCTTTGTCGCGTGAATGCCACCCGACAACGGTGGCACTTGTACTTTCGATTCGGATCGTTGTAACTGTCCTCGGCGATCGCTTGGCTGTTCAGGTAGTCTTCCAAGAACTGCTGGTCCTTGTAGACGATACTGTCGTCCGAGTTCTCGCCGTCGTTTTGATTGCCGTCGTCCAGCGTGGCATCTTTCGCGTCCTCGCACTCGTTCTCGTCGCCCCTCATCGACTCCTTCTTCAGCAGATCGTTCGTCGAGCTGTCGAGGATCTGTCCTTGTAACCCGGCGAGCAGGAGGGGGTTATTCATAAGGCTCTGCTTGTAAGCGTTCAGCTCTTCGTCGGTGAGCTCCGAGTGGACGCTCTCGACGTGCTTGTGCAACGCGACTAGCGACCTGAAGCTCCTCCCGCACAAAACGCACTTGGTCGCGTCTCGGATCAGATGGTACTGCGAGTGGAGTTGCAACTTCTCGAGGGTCTTAAACGCGAGCGAGCACTGATTGCATCTGTACTTGTACACGTGTTTCTCTGAGACGGACATGTTGCACACCGAGTTCTTCGCGTGGACCTCTTTGAAGTGCATCTGCAGGGTGTGCGCGGTTGGAAAAAACTGGTTGCAACCTTTCTTCCAGCACACGTAGCCCGGTCCGCTCGGCGTTTGTTTGATCTCCAGGTGACCGGTTTCGTTCTGATGGAAACACAGCTCGTCGATGTTACGAAACGTTTTGAAACACGTGCCGCAACGCTCGGATTCCGATTCCGCATTGTCGTCGCTAGATGGCGACAGCAGATCGGGCTCGCCCTCCGTTTCGGCGCTTCGCTCCAGCTTGTTCGAGTCTTTGGAAGATACGGACGTGGGTGACACCTGATTGGGCACCGAATTGTTGGGAGTAGGCGTCCTGGATGCTTGGTTGAGCCAGTGGCTCTGGTCTACGAGCATCAGCAGCCTCTGCAGGCCTTCGCTGTTCACCGAGTGGATTTGCATCACGTGCCGTTCGAGGCTGGTACGGTCTTTGAAGAGATCTTGGCACAACGGGCAATGGATGACCGTTTCTTGGACGTTCCCCGCGCTACCGGAGCAATGCTGCGCGAGCACGTGGGCTTGGATGCGCATTTCGGAGTCGCTCGAGTATTCGCAGTAGGGACAGAGGTGGGGATGGATTTGGGAGGATTCGCAGCCCGGTTCGTCGGTGTCCTCCCGAGGTTCGGATTTCACTTGGTCGCGGTTGGCCTCGATCTGGCTCAGTTCGGAGTTGATACTGTCTCGGCGTTCTGGAAAGTGAGACAGCGTATGTGACAACCCCGAAATGAAGATATTCTTCTTTTAAATATTTTTATAAAACAGTAAACGTAAGAACGCATGGGGTTAAATCAATATGTTGATTTTTTTTGTTAATTAGATTACATTACCGATACAATATACGATATTAACAAAGGGCTTTGGTCACTAACTCTTTCAATACGGAATTAACTAAATATTCCTCAAAAGTGTACCTACATTACTTGTCGTCAAAGAACCTGCTTAACAAAATTATGAAAAATTTAATCGTCTTATAGATATGACGTTATCACTTAGAATGTAATGTTGTCATTAAAACAACAACTAATTAAATTGAGATACAAGACAATTTTGACAATTTTATAAAAAATATATTTTAGCTTATTCAATGGAACATGCACGAGATAAAAATTCTTTTATTTTATTTTGTTTTAATTACAGTATTTGCAAAGAAACTTCTACAGGCTACTGTAATACTATTTATAAAAATAAATTAAAATTTTAATTCGAACACCCTGCATTTTGTGAATTTTTAGATACTTTATGAAAAACTAAACCAATTTTATAATCATCAGTTTATGTTTAGAACAAATGAAAATAGAAAGTGTCACTTTTCTTGGTTGAAATCTGTCGAAATAGTTTGAAATAAAAAAAAAAAACATGCGCAATGGAACAATCCAATGTCCCATAATCGGCAGTTCAATTAAAACAAATGGCAATACCCAATACGAAAACAAACTTTTAATAATGGCCGACGAAGTATTTTATAGTACTTATCTTTCTACAAGGCGAACCAATTAAATCATTTTTAAAATAAATAACATTTAAATGAAAAAAATTTGATGACTTAATGATGTTGTGCATCTCATCCACATAATTCTTATGTTTAACAGATATTTCTAAAGCGAGCTTTAATGGACAACACAGACAGAACAACAAAGATTTTATGGTATAATATTTTTCATATTTTTGAAGTTATAGGGGCCAAACTAATAGAAAAATAATGTTTTTTGTTTCTATTGTTTTAAAAATAGGAATATTGCACAACATTCTTAAAACTTCAAATTGCTACGCCACTGGCATACATTTTGCATAAATTAGCATGTTCTTGCTTCCGTACCTGTTTGTTGATTATTCTGTGCAAATGAAAAAATGCTACGAAAATCTGGAACTACTGCTTGAAAAAATCCAATACAAGGATTGGTGACTTAAAAATTGTTCGACTTCTACTAGGTCAGCAGTCAGGATATACGAAGTACCCCTGTTTTTTGTGTGGGTGGGACAGAGAAAACAGACAGCAACGTTGGGTGCAAAGGAACTGGACAAAAAGGATAAAAAAATATTCTTCACGATAGTCTCATTGATCCACGAAAAGTTCTCTTACCACCATTGCATACTAAATTGGAGCTGATGAAGCAGTAAGTTAAATTATATGTTAAAAATAAATATGGAGCATGTTTTCAATACCTACGTGCAGATGCAAAGTTAAAGGAAGGTCCTCAAAAATCAAGACTTTGTGAGTGCCATGGTCGCATCTAAAAAGGTTGGGTTTCATTTACTGATGTTATAAACGATTTCCTAGGAAACAGAAACATCGAAATTACAAAGATATTGTGGAAGTTATGTTAGTATAAGTATAAGTATAAAACTACACTTTATACACTCGCAAATGGACTACTTGTCCGAAAATCTTGGTGTCCATCAAGCCATAAAAGAAATGGAACGCAGATATTGAGGTTGATGGAACGTTGCAATGATGGCAGATTACTGCTGGTCATTAAAAATGGACAAATCAACCGAGATATTCATTAACTAATTCTTTAAATGTTGATAAAAAAAACTTATCAGATTGAAACTTTTTAGGCCAACTTTCAAAAGTTCAACAACTGTTGCTAAGAGATAAATGGTACTTGGCCACAATATAAGGTTTATCAGACCAATTTACGTACGGCAAAAGACGTCTTTAAAATATTTACTTTGAGCTATCGTTAGGGTGTTTTGTATTATTTTCGGTATATCCGACATGTTCCGAACCCCTCGCAGACAATTAAGCCGGGCTATATAATTTATAACACGCACGGCAGACGGTAAATTAACTAAAAAATCGTCTCGGGCCTTTCGATCAAACAAAAACCCCTTTTAACGAAATTATTGCGCGCCGCCGCCCCTCCGCCGCCATTGAAAGCCTCCTTAACCGTCGCACCGTTGTAATAAGCGGTTTTTTTGAAACTTCGCGGCGCCCCGAGGGCTACGGGCAGCCATGTGCCCCCCCCGAATTCCAAATATTTTCGGAAACATAGATAAAAAAAAAGACGCGGATAATTATTACGCGGTGAGGGGGCGTCTTTTGCACCCTCCCGGAGGCGCTGAAACACAAAGGCGTTGTTCTTATTGTCGCGTCGGTTGTCCCTCGCGGGGGAACCCCCTCCCCCTTGCCACGGTTTTAACAAAACCGGGGAAATAATACTCTTAATCTTCCCGATTGTTTGGAGGTTTTGTTCTCGGAAAAATATTATCTTGCTTTTTCGTCTTTCGTTTTCTTTTGTCGACCTAAAAGTGCAAATTTCGGGAACAATTACGGCCAAGTATGGGAGGAAGAAAATATCTTCCTCGTGGCGGAAATGTGATTGTTTTCTTGCGCATATACAAGAAATCTCGGGAAGTTGAAACCATATGGGAGACTTTTTTTAGCATTGAAGATATCGATAATTGATTTGGATCTCTTTTCTAAGTGGCACATTCCCATGGCGTCTAAAAAGAACTATCGTTTGATAACAATTTCAAATAGTTTTTCTAAAGCGCTTCCGTAGGACAATTTCTTTTATCGAGGACGATGATAAGGGGTAAGCCTCTAGACTGGATCAGTATTCCTTGTATCCCTTAAGTTTTATAATGGTAAGAGAATGGAAAGCTAGCTAGTCAACGCATAGAAACCGGTGTCCCTCAAGGTTCAGTTTTAGGCCCTGTAGTCTTCATATTACACGAAAATTGTATCTCACCTGATTATTTAGGTGTTCGTATTTTTTACAATCTGCCGTTGGTGCTAGGAGATAAAAGTTTAAAACCTTAAAAATTTAAAATGTTTTTTTATATATAGTAAATATTATGAATTTTGACTATTCCTATACAATTTTGTAGTTGTCTTTGGGAAAATAAATATTATTATTATTATTATGAATGGCAAAAAACTATATCTCGAATAATTATCCTTATACTTAGAAAAACATTTTTTTTAATTCCTTAAAATCGAAAGACAAAATATTTAAACAATTATATAGGGCGGCAATAAAAAAAATTTTAAACACCCCATATATTTTTGCGTGTTACGATTGTTCCAAGAAACTTTATAGTGTGAAGTTTTCTAAAAAATGATTTTATTATTAATTTTAGGAAAAAAAGGAAAATTTTAATGTAATAATTATTGGAAATTAGTCGACCCCTTATTTGCTTTGTGGATATAACTAAGGCAAATCTTAAATGACAAAAAATGAATTAAAATAATATAAAATTGGCTTCCTAAATAATAATAATAACTTGGCTTTGTTTTTTTTTTAATTCTACCACTCTAATGTATAACCCTTGCCTTGACGTCTGTACTAAGAAATGGTTACAAAAGCGTAAGAATGTTTGTTTTAGCTTTATTTTCAGGTTTAGACAACATAAGTACCCATAAAAATAAACTCTATTTGTCGGTTCCGAAATGAAAACATTCACTAGAACCATCTGGCGATATTTGTCCGTAAATTACTTCGTCACTCTACTATTCAAAATGGAGCTTGACGATAACAGGATCTAGAAATAACCACCATCTACGTAACTTTCAGCTAAATTGTTTCGCCTGAGCTTTGTTTATAATGCTAATGTAATAATAATAATAATACTTCTCTTAAAATCACCCTTAACCATTAACCACCAAGAGCTCAAACGAACTTTGCTCGCAACTGCGCAGTGCACTAGTAGGTTTCTCCATGCAATTAATAATTTAAAAAATTCTAACTCTTTTATTTGCATCGTTAACCTTTTTTGTTGTTAAAATTCTCGTTTCATTTTTTCATATACTGTAATATACTGTAATCTCACAATAAAGATTAAGAAAGTGAGTAACACTGTAGAACTAACTTACGAGTATGACAGTTCCTGAAGAAAGAACTCAACATAAATAAAGGAATCAGTTAAGGGGATATCATCGGTACTTATCGTTGATTCAGAGGACAATCTACACTGGTCACTTCATTTATTTAATCAAGAAGCTGAGCGATAAAACATGATAGTGAACATCAACATCATCATGCATTTAGACATCTAAAGACTCGATAGGATAAAACTGAAGAAAGAACACAGAAAATTCTGGAATGGAGAATGGAGGATTGTATCCTACCTTTGGCATATCGTTTTCAATGGTGGTGATGGACATAAATACACCCAAATCCGGGTGGTACTACCTAGAACTACTAGAACCTTGCAAACATTCTCAGTGGTTTAAGTATTCGCTCATTCTGTAGTCACCCCATCAGAATAAATGTGACTTTGGGGTTCGTTTTTTATTCTGTTAACTCGTAAACTGACCAAGCAAACTTACATTCTTAGTTCCTCCATCCGAAAATCCACAAAACAAAGCCAATGGCTCAACTTTTTTGGTAAAAAATACATATTTTATAAATCTGGATACACCCCGTTCTTTGATCGGTCACATATTTGTTATCCAAAATCACTCCAACAATCGAAACGCATAAACCGTGTACCCTGGACAATTTATTGAAAGGAGCTTTCTTTTGACAATAATTAAATGTTTCTTATAAGTTCTATTTAAGTTTTAAAATCTGTTATCTCTCGTACCACTTTTGAAATTATATATATATATATATATATATATATATATATATATATATATATATATATATAGCTACCTACTTAGAATGATTCAGGAAACTATCATTGAAGAAAATGCAAAACAGGATTACAAGCTATAAATATCAGTTGAAATGAAATATGC